ATAAAAATGTATACTAATAATATATATATTAGTGCTGTCAAACGATTAATCACGATTAATCGCATCCAAAATAAAAGTTTTTGTTTACATAATATGTGTGTACTGTGTATATTGTTTATATATAAATACACACACATGCATGTATATATTTCAGAAAAATTTTGTTTGTATATTAAATATATTTATATATAATATAAATTATATGAATTTAATGATATACATGTAAATACATGCAAATATTTTGCAAATATTTATATAATATAAAATATTATAAAATATTTATATATATATTATATAATCTCAAGAAATTTAATTTAGGGAACGTACATACATTACGATGAAACGAAATATTATATCAAACAGTATTGCCTCTTTTCATTTTCAGTTTAACATATGAATAGATTAATAGAATAATAGAATAAAGACCAGATTTACCCAAAATGAATTATATCTTATATTTAACCACTACAGAGACATCAGAGCCAGCGGCAAATGTCAGAAGGACTAGCCGAGTTGAGGCTGCTCTCGTCAGGAAACATGAGCACTGAGCGCCCGGTGAGAGCTCACGTCTCCGAAATCGGCGAAGCTTTTCAAATAGGCGTTAAAAAATACTTTTAAAACTACATTTCATGACACAATAACAGTAATATTTTAAAAAAATGGTGCAAATAAAAATACAATTTCAAGTGGTTGAAATACAATGTTGCGTGAACTCAACCAATCAGCATGTTCAGCGCCCAAGTCCCGCCCCCAAAAGTTCCGGACCTTTGAAAAAGTAGAGCAGGGACTTTCTGAGGGGCAAATTTTGTTTTTTTAATTTATGTGGTGGAACTGAAAATTGCCTGTCTAATGAATTCTGATAACTGATTCTAAGCCCATCCTTTAAAATCTACACAGAGATAAATTCAGATTGCTGAAAAAAGTCCTGAAGTCATGTTAACGTAGAGCAATGCGATGTGCAATGTGCACAGCGATGCCATGAAATGATAAAAGATGTGCATTAATTACCATTGATTTCACCATCGTTCACATGCTTGTGACTCACAAATATTATGGCTTTTGATGCAAAACCATCTTAGGGCTCATCTCAAGAAAACAGCAACCACACTTAAACACGCCTCCTCCTGAGATGTTTATCAGGTTCTTTGTGCTTTATATGTTTTGGTGTGAAATGTGGGGCAATGCAAAGTCAGCCAAACAAAGAAGTGAAAGCCCAAATAGGGTGCCAGGCAGAGTTTCTCTCAGAGTGACACTGGCCCCCAAACAGCAGAGAACTTCAGAGAAACCACTGAGGTCTGAAGTATAGGCAAGACTCATAACAGCAGAGATCCTGAAGACCTGCACTCAGAGGTGAGTCAACACACATATTATTGAATTTGAAACTTTCCAGGGTTTCAGATGCCCGCACCCACACCAAGTAGATAGATAGATAGATAGATAGATAGATAGATAGATAGTAATTGAGATTGTAATAAAAAGATGCTCTCATTTCTGCATTAATATCTGTGAATTACGCTAAAAATAAAATGCTTTATTTTTTGCAGACATAATATAAAATGTTCATAGTATTTTCACTGCAAACACTTGATAACAGTGGATATTAATGTAATATATTTCTATAATCATGTCTACAATATTTTAAATACTAGTGTTTTTTTTTTATAAAAATGTATTTTTTATATATATGCAGCAGGTGAGTAAATATGATTTATTCCACATTTTCAGGCTTAACACCTCACCAATCTTTCATCAAAAGTAGTATTTATATAATTTTTCTTTGCTGAAAAAGCTTTTATATCATATAAATTATATTTAATATAAATTACGAGATATCAATGCAGAATGTTTGCTAAGACAATTTATTATCATTAATAAAAAATAAATAAATAAACAAACATTGTCCCAAGAAACCAAACTGCAAATAAACATACAAGTTTACCTGGTGTGTAAACATTAAAGAAATGGTAACATCTAAATTAACTGGTTTTATTCATGTCAAAAATATAATTTAACATTACTGAACCAATCTACATCGATTTATCCCACAGAACAAAATGTTTTGTGTTATGTGTTAAATCAGGTAGAGATAACAATAGTAGGTCACCACTCTTTACAGTGCTAATTAAAGGGTTAATAATAATAACTTTAATTATAGAGCAAAAATATCAAGAAAATATAAAAAAATATGACAAATAAAAATACACAAACTGATCAATTATCACACGAAACAAACAAAAGCCGTTGTATTCCGATACGAATGTGATTGTTTTGAAATATTAAAATGTAATTTTTCTGTCTCGTTTTTTTCCGTTGTTGCAAATGATCAAATCTATCGTGTTTTAGTTCCTATTAAATTGTTTTATTAATTTGAAATAATTTTTTATTTAGTCATTTAGCAGACGCTTTTATCCAAAGCGACTTACAAATGAGGACAACAGAAGCGATCGAAGCAAAAAATTGTAGCATTAAAACAGATCCAAAACTAAAAGCTAAAACTTTATCAATACTACTTATACACATTTTTAAAAATAAAGAGATTAAATAAAAATGACAAATGCATACAACAAAATTTCAAAACTTAACATTTAAACGAAAAACAAAAAATAAAGCTAAAAACAATTCAAAATATTAAAGAACAAAAGGTATGAGTATAATAATGATTCTAACATAACACTAAGCCAAACACACACACACAAATATATATATATATATTATTTTTTTTTTTAATTTGATAAAGGTTTGATAGCTTACGGTTGTTTCTGAAGCAGACTCGCCAGTGGCTTAAACATGTGATGCAGTCCTGAGCTTCACTGTCACCATCAACATTATCCTCTTCCTTCTCACAACCAGAGAGTCGCACAGAAGCCCGTTTCTCCACAAAAACATTATTAAAAGAGATCTCCCTTCAGTCTGCTCTTCTAGCTTCACTTCTGCTCAAATAAAGACCCGTTCCTCATGAAAGCGTTTTAAAGCGCGTTGGCACGCGATGCTGACTGAAAGCGCGAACTGGCTGTCAGCGACTGTTTGACTGTGGCACGCAATAAGTATTAGAATGAGTAAAATTTCATCCTAGACGTTATTTAAAGATTTTTAACAGAGATATTTCGTGCTCTCATTCACCACAAAACACACCTGAAACTAAAGGTGACATTTCTTCACAGACGCATCTGGCAGCACCGAGGCGCGAGTTACTATGGTTACTGTGTTTGTTATTGCGCGAGACTTTCCGATCTTATGTTTTTCTAGCAGGATTACGCTTTTTTAGGTAAAGTCTTTACAATTAAATGTTACCTAGTGTATGCTACTCGGCCACTATTAGATGTTTAATTTTAAATTAAATCCAATTTAATTTATTTGCTTGACAGGTTAATTAATCACGAACCCAAAAATAATGTGAAAATAGCACCTGACGCTGAGCGTCACAAATACGCATCACTGCTTGCCACGATATATGCACACACACACACACACACACTCACACACACACACAC